AAATTTAATTGGAAGTAGTGATAGTAGTAGTGGTAGTCCATCCACAACAAGAGAAGTAACACAAGATAATGGCAATAATGTAATAATTGCCTATCAATCATTTGTATTTAGATCTTAATAAAATTTATTGTGTGATTTGATTATTATATTTTATTCATCTTTTTATGCATTTATAAATTCAAAGGTACAATCTACATTGGCCAAATTAAAAGCAGGATATAATTCATTTTCATTTGTAATTTCAGAAAACGCAACTCCATAATCTTTATCATTAACTTTGAATGAAATATTTCCATTTCTTAATTCACATTCAATAATTGAACCATCAACTATGCGACTATTAATATAGGATTTGCATGAATCACCTCTTTCTGAAAACAAGTAACCATTACCAGCACAATATAAATAATAACCACATGAATTGTAATTTGAACCATTAATATTAATAGTTTTAGGTGCAAAACCAATCATTAAATTGGCACAATTTGAAATTAATTTAATTTTAAATACGTTTGTTTTTGTTCCTAATATGGCTGCATCCCAGCCGTTAGCTATTGTTTTTCTTGCTCTTGTTGGTGTTTCTAATTGAATATTTGATGAACAATAATTTGAATCAAATTCCACTTTAGCTGTTACGTTATTAGTACTTGTAGTAGAAATTGAATATTTTGGTTTTAATATTTTCTTTCCATTTATAGGTAATAATTCATAAATAGATGTTAATTGATAATAAACAATTTCTTCAATGAAATCATTCAAATCATGTTCATTTAAACTTGATAATTTAGATGAAATATCAATTCCTCTTAAATAATTTAAAATTAAATGAAATTGTTCATTGGGTCTATCAATAAAGAATGAATTATCATCTTCCTCTGCTGTTGGATTAAACAAGTCATTAAAATATCCTGTAAAGAATGTATCTTTAACACTTGTAATAGTAGCCAAATTAGTAGCAAATATTTTACCACCAACATTAAGTTTTACAACTTGATTCTTTCCTAATTTAGTTTCAATAGTTGTGCTGGTAGATAATTTTGTTTCCAAATTAAATAATCTTTCTTCACGTTCTTTCAAATCATTT